TCGCCCAGGCTGGAGTGCAGTGGCACGATCATGGCTCATCTCGGCCTTGACCTCCTGGGCTCAAGCAATCCTTCTGACTCAGCCTCATAAGTAGCTGGGGCTACAGGTGTGTCACCATGCCTGGTTAATTTTTTTTTTTTTGTAGAGACATTATCTCACTGTGATGCCCATGCTGGTCTCAAACTCCTGGGCTCAGGCAATCTTCTTGCCTCGGCCTCCCAAAGTGCTGGGATTGCAGGCATGAACCACCACACCCGTCCTTAACTCTCATTCTTCTAAACATTCCCTGCACTCCTCTCTTCCTACTCAGGTCTTCTTGTCTCTGGATTTCTCCCACAGATATCTCAAGACTCCCAAGTATCTCCTATCATAAAAGACAATAAAAACCGTTCATACCCCTCTGTAGCCATCTCTCTACCCTCAGCCCCCGCTTCCATAATTGTTTTATACTGTCTCTAGTTCTCACCTTCCATTCACAGGGCTATCATTAACCTGTGAGGAAGCTGTGTTCAAATTAGAAAAGGGGCCTTTTTCTTCCAAGGGGATGCAGCTGCAGGGTGCGAGACTTGGGAGGATTTCTTCTGCACTCTCGGCTAGGTCACCCTATGCAGTGCACTTACTGCACAACCACACATGGTGGCCCTGTAAGATTTCGGTTATTTCTACTGGCTTCTAGTTTGTGTTTGGCAGAATCATCATTAAAACTCTGTTGCTAGAATAGTGGCCTAAAGTACAAAGACGCATTTTTGCTCTCAATTCTCTCTGTAGTTTCAGGACCTTGCTCTACTTTTTGACAAGAGATCCATCTTATGTCCCCTTTGTAACTCTTACATTCTAGTAATACTGCTGTTACCTCTCCTACTGCCATTTTCTGACAGTCTTTTTCTACCTTCCACTTCCTGATATTTTCCTCTACCAATTTAAATAAATTAGGTTCCATTCTGTGTGAGCTAATAAGTAGTAAAGTGTAGTATTAAGAGTTGAAAAGTCAGCTTTTGTTGAGTTTTTTCTATTCAACTTTGCTCAGCGAAATATCTTTACACAGTCAGCAAAAAGCAAGTTTGAGAAGACTGTTCTCTAAAAAACAAAAATCTTTTATTTTTAGTGTAGAATATATGTTCACTGTAGTTAACTTTTACAATGACAAATAAAAATTGGCATTCCATCACTCAGTTGTTAACAATCGGGTTAGTTGCACATAGTGTTGTGTGAATCTATCTATGCATCTATTTTTTGCAAGTGAGTATTTATTTGAACAGTCATGTTTTCCCTCTTTCACTTATTTTGTTGTCATTTTAGCAATTAAAAATACATGAAAAGTTTAAATAAATAATAAATCTTTGAAAGTAATTTTTTTTCCCCGAGACAAGGTTCACTGTTGCCCAGGCTGCAGTGCAGTGGCATGATCATAGCTCAGTGCAGCCTTGACCTCCTGGGCTCAGGCGATCCTTTTGCCTTAGCTGATTAAGTAGCTCGGACTACAGGTGTCACCACACCCAGTCGATTTTTAATTTTTTTTGCAGATAGGGTCTTGCTATGTTGACCAAGCTGGTCTTGAACTCCTGGGCTTAAGTGATCCTCCTGTCTCAGCCTCCCAAAGTGCTGGGATTACAGGCATGAGCCACCATGCCTGCCCTGAAAAATAGTTTTTAATATCTACTTAGTACTTCATTAATGGAAAGAATAAATATATGACCACTTCCTTTATGTTGGACATTTTCTAACCAAATTTGCTGTTTTCTTTAACCAAAAATCTTTTAAGAACATTTCTGAATATTTCCTGTGATAAATTTCTCTAAGTAGGACCACTTGGTCATAGGACAGGTTTATGTTCATACAAATTCCCTTGAGGAAGGCTGTGCTATCTACTTCTACCAGCAGTGGATAAATGTGGAGGTTTCCCTGCACTTTTGTCAACATCGCATTTAGAGAGAAAAAGTGCTACTCTATCAGTTCTACGACCTTGTTAAAGCTATTCACTTGTCATTTCTAGTCCCAAACCAGGATAGCTCCTGTCAGATCCTTAATTGGTCTTCTGGTTTCCATAGTGATTTCATTATCTACTTGTACCCTAGTGCAAAGTTCAACCTATTTCCTCAGTTGTCCATGCATAAACCTCTTCCAGATTTGCTCTAGGCTCTTGACTTCTGGTGAAGAAAGCTGTTTCCTCTTGGGACTCATACTAGCTTGATTAAGGTTAAAAATATATTATAACAACTGCTTCCTCTTGAGAGGGTGGTATCCAGATCCTAGATCTAGAGATAATTCTTTCACTCCTACTGTTTCCTTCCCCTTTCCATCCTGAATAGGCCTCACATTTTCATTTAATATGTCATGGGCACTAGTGCCTTCAAACAGCAGTTCAGGGTAGTCTTGAATCAAGACTGCCCAGGCTGAGTTCCAATGTTAACAGTTTGGTGATTTGGGCATGTCACGTGAACTAATCCTTAGTATATAGGAAAAACATCAGAAGGTAATTAAGTGCTGCATAGTTTAGAAAGGGTGATATGGTACAGAAGAAAAAGGATGGCTACTTTAGATTGTGGACCTGAACATGGGCACTCTGAAGTGATAGTAAACTGATCCTTGATGAAAAGAAAGAGCAAGCCTGCAGAAGGAAGCTTGGGGACAGGAAGCAGGGCTGAAGGGAGAGAGAGGAACATGAGAGAGTTCCAGATAAAGTGGGGCAAAAGTATGCTCAAGGGGAATGAAATGAGGTGTTACGTGTAGGATCTAGCATTTGATGGGTGGAGAGAAAAAGAGGGAGTAAAGAAGGAAAGGGAGACGGAAGGGAGGCAGGGAGGGAATGAACAAGAATCTCAATTTCTGTATGGTTGAGCTCTCTGGAGGAATTCAGTTATCATTTTCATTCAGCTTTGAACTGCATGTTCTCTTCCCAGTTGCAATTACTACTTGGTCTCATTCTGTTTATACTAAGTAGAGCTACTATTAAGAGCCCAAGTGTGTCAGATTCATTATAGATTTTATATATTTTCCCTCATTTAATCCTTACAACCTGAAGCAGGTTATTATCCCCATATGCTTCTTCACAGATGAGAAAACTGAGGCTCAGAATGAAATGTCTAGAAGGTGGTAGAGCCAAAACTTAAATCCAGGCTGTTCTGACTTCAGATTCATGTTCTTGACTGCAACACTATTCTGCTCTTCAATTAGACTTCTCTTTGATAGCTTTCACATTTGTAAGACTGTTCATTCCACTCAGTTCATCTTGTTCCTCATTACTTAGCTAACTCTGTGATAGAACTCTTAGTTTCATCTGCTAGTCAGATGTAGCCAAGTACTTTTTCTTACAGACACATTCTTAGTTACGGAAAGCATCTTAATATAAGTAAGGTATGACCTTTGAAGTTGGCTGGGCCAGGATGAAATCCAGGTTCTGACACATTTCTGTGACCTTGGACGAATTATTTAGTCCAAGCCTCATCTTCTTCATCTGAAAAGTAGGATTATTATTTATATGGAGAGTTGAGTGAGAATTAGAAGACATAAAGTAAGGAAAGTCCTCAAAATAGCATTTAACAAATGGCAGGTGTTAAAAAAAAATAGCTGCTTAAGAAACAAAAACAAAACCCTCATTTTACAGATAGAAAAACTGATTTGGAAATGACTTGCTGGGAGAACAGATGTTCTACTTTATCCAATTTCCATGACTCTAGCATTCCATGATGCAAGTTCATTGGAACTACTAAAGGCATTCTGTTCTGTGATTCCTTCCTTTGTCAGCTGCCATAACAAAATACCATAAAGTGGTTGGCTTATAAACAACAAAAATCTATTTTGTACAATTTTGGGGGCTGGAAGACTGAGATCATGGTCCCAGGAAAGTTGCATTCTGGTGACGGCTTTCTTCTGGGTTGCAGACGGCTGACTCCTGGTTGTATCCTCACGTGGTGGAAAGAGAGCTAGGAAACTAGACACTAAGGTCTCCTTTACAAGGACACTAATCCCATTTATGAGGGCTTCCACCTTATGACCTAATTACCTCAAAAAAGACCCACCTTCTAATACTATCACACTAGGAATCAGGAATCAACATATGAATGTTGGGGGGGGGACACAAACATTCAGTCCATAGCAATATCCTTAACAATACCCATTCAAGCTAAAATATATTTTTTTCCCTCTGAATTAGGGAACAGAGATAATTTTCAAAGTTCCAGATCTGTAAAACGGGGACAGTAATACCTGTATTGTGGGGCTGTAAAGATCACATGTAGTAAGACATGAGATTGTGTTTGAAAATGCTCTTGTTAAACACTTTTATAAAATGCCATGAAGGTAGGTGAGAAAAGAGGAATGATTTGAATTTTATAAAAAAAAATTAAAAGGATATTAGAGAAGTGGTCAGAAACACAAGAATGTAGCTCAAAATAAACAAACATAGGATGTTTAAAGAAAGATAGTCCTTGACTTCTAAAAAACACTCTATGCTTACTGCAAATGCAAATAAAATTGAAGATTGTGTTTATTGTATTTTAAGACAATTGAATAAGATGTAGATGAGAAATTAATGATAATGCTAAGGAGTAGGTTTATGAAGATTAGGTTAAATTTAGTGTAAAAAGGTGAGCGCTCCTGTGACAGGTGCTCTTAGACAGTTGAGTAAATAGTTGCTTTCACATGGTGGTTTTGTGATTCCCTGCTGACCAGAAGTATTTTGTCACCTTTCTCCACCACATGTTACAGTATCTGAAATTACACCAAAAGGCTAAGATCAAATATTGCAATAAAGGTTTGCTCATTTAAACTGATTTCAGATCCTGATTATTTCTTAAGATCACATTGACTTTGAAAGCAGGAAGAATGAACTCAGAGGGAAGAGAAATTCACTTTTTATACTTTTCCAAGAGATTTTTCTAAGAAAGTCACATTTTCTGCAATACAGAACCACCAGGAACACTGCAGACTGTGTGGGGAGCTTACCTTGATTTTGCAAAACTTACCATGTCTTTTGAGTTCCAACGGAAATACGAACCACATATTTATGAAATATTTATTAAAATATGCACTTAAGATACATATTTTGTCTTTTCCATAAATTATTCACATGGAGATTTACTCCTTTCTTTGAAACACCATGGAATACAACAAAAAATTTTAACAGAGAACAATGCATTTTATACATCCTGAAATAAACAGCTAATATTCCTTAGAAAAGATACAACATATTTAATTACCTAAATTTTAACAAAATATTATTTATGGAAATGGGTTGTAGTCTTTATTGCAGAGCCACCTAATCTCTACATAATCAAAAGACTAGCTCTCATGTCACTTCTCTGTTAGAAAGTACCAGCACCGACCTGACATAATCTTCTTATGTACAGCAGCAGCCTCTGCTGGAGAGAACAAGGTGTGCTTCTATAACAAAGCATCAAGCTCAAACCTATTTTGAACTGGAACTCAAAGTTAGATTTCTTTCATTTCCCGGAAAACCAACAACCTAAGTTAAAATGATTATTTTCACGGTCTTAAACATGTGCGGGCCTTGTCAAGTATTTCCTTTCTGATTTTTGGATAATTTGGATGTGCTTCAAGAACCTGCAAAACAAGTAACACACAAAAACTCGTAAGTAATCATCAAGAACTAGAGAGCTATGAAACATCCCAGAAATGAGCATTACTTTAGATTTCATTGTACTAATATTACAACAGCTGTAACACTTTTTAAGGGTGACATCTTAAATGTAACATGGTGACTCACTTATATTAACAGTAATTATATGAGAACAGTAGAATATGAATGCCACATGTGAAAAATATAACAAATATAATTGCTTCCTTAATAGACTAAGTTGTAGAAAACAATTATGTATCTGATTTAAAATATTTTTGTAATTTAGTTATTTATTCATAATATTTAATAAACTTTTAAAGAGATTTTTATCCAGGAGTACATGTCAAATTTACCTGAAATAATTTTGACACACACATATTTCCAGGTCTATTGAGTCCAGGAGTGGGGAGACATTAATTTAAGAAAAAAATTCCACAAATGATCCTACTATATAACCTTAATGTCCAACCCTAACTTTAATCGGAAGTACTGCTTTAAATAGAGGACTCAATAATCAACAGCAATGACTAAGGCTATGTACTACAGTCATGCTGATACACGCTAGCAGGGATAAGGGGTATTCTAATACTCCTTTTTTTTTTAGCTTTTAAAATTTTTATTTTACTTTAGATTCAGGGGGCATACCTGTATGTTCATTACATGGACATATTGTATATAAGTGGGGATTGGGTCTCAAGTGGCCCATTCCCCAGATAGGGAACATTGTGCCCCATAGGTAGTATCGAACACTAAACCACCTCCCCCTGCAAAATTCTTTTCTAAGGAGTTTTTCTTGGAGCTCCTTATAGTGTTTTATAGAGTGTTTTATAGGGAATATCAGTGAGACAATGTATAAATAAACTGCAAATTCTAAAATTGCAATTTAAATATTTTTCATTGTAGTAGGTGATCATTTAAGCAGGAGATGATTACAGATGTAATTAAATGACTTGTAAATGACAGAATCCCTTTTTATCTCTAATTTAGCAATCTGAATTCTCCAATAACTACACTTAGACACTCATAAGAACTTCTATTTGGAGAATCTATGCTATCCTCAAATATCTTCTAATGTAAATATTAAATTTTATTTAACATGTTCTTCTACCAGTCTTTGTCTTTAAATTGACATAAACATCTTATTATTCGACCTAAAAGTAAAAACACATTTTTAATTTAGGTGAACGCTATTATGTTCTACATTTCGAACAGATAATCTCCCTGAATGTATCTGATATGTTATTTGGCCAAAATACCACATCCTCCACCTCTATTCATATACATCTTGAGATTAATAAAAAGCAGAAAATTGAGCCACTGAAAAATTTTAAGAAACCTAGATTTAAGTGTTTACCTGGTGACATATGTCAACTGAATCCACATATCTTTTTGCTTTTAAGTAATTAAATGCCAGTTTGTATCCTGTTAAGACAAAAAAAACAAAACCATAATAACATAGTACTATCTATAGAACACAAAGCTACTATTACTTTTTTCTTGCCTCTTGCTCTGTTTATTTACTCACTAGAGAATGTGTGTAGTAGGCTGGTGATGGGACACCTTAACTACACCATAGAGAGAAGTGATATCATAACAGAGGGCAGAGTGACACGAAAGTAGTGTAAGAAGAAAATGGTGTTGGAAAAAAAGGCCTGCAGTGAACATACGGATGGGTTAGAAATCACAAATGTGATTTCTGCAATTTACTACAAAGGTCTCATTTATTTTAGGTTATAGTAAAACCCATCATAGGATAGTAAGTGACAACACAGCTATTCATTTGTACAGTATAGATTTATTTAGCACTTAACACACCAGGGAAACTGACAGTCATGAGTTTTATATTCTATGAGAAGAAAAAGTACACGAGAGAAGTGATTGCATAAGTAAATGGATCATTTCAAAACTGAGATAATTGCTATGAAAGAAAGATTCAAGCCTAGCGAGTTTTCCTAAGGAACTTGATTGGGGAGGGAGAGGGGGTCAGGAGATGTCTGAAATCTGACAGATGAAAAATAAACAGGCCAGGACTGGGTAATCAGGGATACTTTCAGGCAGCGGAAACCATATGTGTGAAGGCCAGCATAGACACTTAAGGAGCCAGATGAACTAGGAGCATGTGGTGAGAAGATAGAACCTGGGCAAGAGCAACATAGAGGAAGCGGATAAGACATCAGATGTTCCACAGCAATGACTGGTGGGAATATCACAATTACTGATACTGAAATATCACACTTCCAACTACCAACCATTAGAAGAAAGTTTTAAGACATTCTTTAATGACTGTTGTTCGCCTGCAAGCATGCTATAAAAATAACACTAAGAAGGTGACAAGAAAAGTAACAGTAGCTGTGCACTCAGTAAATAAGATATAAAACAATGTAAAATTACATGCAATAACAAATATTTCATTTTACCTCTAAGAAGTAGGAATGCTGTTCTCAGACTCTGATAAAAGTACCAAATCAAATTAAAATTTCAAACAAATGTTTGAGAAGAATTCCTGGCTAACATAATCAGAAAATAAGAAGTTTCAGAGTGGTAAACTTGAGGTCATTGCCAAGGAATTCTAAAATGGACTAACAGAACTGTGACTTTCTATCTATCTATCTATAATCTATCTATCTATCTACCTTTATCTATCTATCTATCTATCTATCTATCTATCTATCTATCTATCTATCTATCTATCTATCTATCTATCTATCCCAGTCCAGGTCTCACTCTGCCACTCAGACTGGAGTGCAATGGCATGATCATGGCTCACTGCAGCCTCAACCTCCTAGGCTCAAGTAATTCTCCTGTCTCAGCCTCCCAGGTGGAGAGGACTACAGGCACATGCCACCATGCCCAACTAATTTTTTGATTTTTTGTAGAGATAAAGTCTCATCATATTGCCCAGGCTGGTCTTGAACTCCTGAGCTCAAGTGAACTTCTTGCCTCATCCTCCCAAAGTGCTGGAATTACAGGCATGAGACACCAAGCCTGGCTGAGTTGTGACATTTAAAAAGGAAAACATTTTTTAAGATGTCATACCAAACACACTGTATATGGGAACTAGTCAAAAAGTTTGATTTTATTTCCTTTTCTGGCTTCCTGACTAGTTCTGAGACCTTAGGCAAGTTGCTTGAGCTGTCAATTTCAAATTTCCTCATCCATAAAATGGAGATAACAAACGCTCCCTCTAACACTTAGTATAATTTTAAAAAATCAAATAAAATACTTGTGAAATGTTTTTTAAGATCTTAGAGTATCACAAAATGTCGCATTTTTTTCTGTGTAAACAAACACTAAATTAGAATCACAGAATTTAAACACTGAATGAAAATTGATGATCTAGTAAAAATTTTAGAGAGGAAATAAAGGGCTAGAAAGGGCAAAAAACATATGAACTATAGCTTCAGTCCTCCTGCCACACTTCAAAGAACTCAATTATATGCAACCCGGAAAGAGAGAAACAGAAAGAATGTCAATGCCTAGTGATTGTCATGTATCCTGAGACTAGGTGTGAAGGGAGAAACATGACTGAGTTCTGAGTTCTTCTATTATTGTGTCTCAGTTGGTCCTGCTGTATTTCTTTTATTTTTTTCTTGTATATATTTAAGGTTACAAAATAATAAGTATGTGTATGAATATATATGGACTAATATATATAAAAGTACCAAACAAAATTAAAATTTCAAACAAATGTTGAATGACTAAGTGTATTATTAGTCCGTATATATTCATCATATATATATATGACTGCAGTCAAGCAAATTACACACTCATCATCCTCGTGCCTTTCATAGCAACAATACTCAAGCTTGAAGTCTATGGAAAGAGCATGAACATGATTTTAATCATTGTTTCCTGATAATTGAAAAAATGAAATGCATTGTTAATTTGGCCAGGCAGGTTGGGAGTGTCAAATGCAATGACAATCTAAGGAAGAAAATAATTAATTGGAAGCCACAGAGAAATGTTTACTAAAGCACAGTTGAAGGATCTGATAAAATCATCTCTAATACACAATAATGTCACAATGATCGAGCAAGTGGGCTGAATGTCTATAATTGCCAAAGTCTCCCAAGGAAAACAATATATAAACAATTTAGCTAAATATATTCCTTCTGTGGAATAAGGTATCAAAATTACTGTCCTTCTGTGGAATAAGGTGTCAAAATTAATCTTAAGAATATTTAAGGATTTTTCATTTTACAAGCTGACTTTATTCTGTAAGATATATAATGCCTGAGGGTTTAAAAAAATGCTACAGAAGTCATTAGTTCCTCTGCTTTATATAAGTCTAGTACAAGCACAGATTCCAGAAAAACACAAAATGAGGGAAGACCTCAGCTGAGAGCAGTTAGTCTGAGGTGACCAACCTGACGGCAAATTAAAACTGAGTCCACATTGTGACACAGTTGCTGAAAAGACTGACAACATCTTATGATGAATAAACAACTAGCAAAGGCCTAATCTAAAGAAAATATTTGCTTAACTAAAACTACAGTTAGCCAAATCATATCTGAGAACTTGTTCATTTGGGGTATAACAAGTCAGGAAGGTAGGGACAAAAAACCCCCCAGCATTTTCCAAACTTAATTAGCCGTGGAATCCAAGTCCTTTTTACTTTTTTAAAAATAAAAAATAAATAAGTATTAAAATCTCAGAAGTGTTCCAAAATGCAGGTTGGGATATACTACTTTAGAGCTTCCAGAAGACAGCAACAAGGTGGGTGAAAGACTTAGAACTCAGTTTTAGGAGGAAGAATGGACAAGTAACTGTAAGTGGCTTCAAGAGAACCCTTAGGAGAGACACAACAGAAGTCTGCAATTAAAGGGCCATGGTTTGTAGAATGGAGAGGACTCTGCAGGTAGTCCCAGAGAACAGATTTGAATAGTATCAATGAAGTACACTTCAACTCAATACAAACAAAAAGAAGACAGCATGGGGATGAGCTGCCTTACAGGAGGGGAGAGTTGGTCACTAAGTGTATTCCAATGGCAGCCATCTGTCAGGGACACTGTAGACTGGCATTCCTCAAACTAACAAGTCTACAAAACACTGGGTGGGACTATGATGATGTTCTGAGATGCTCAAGAGGAGAAAAAAATGTCTCATGGTCAAATAATTAAGGGAAACATGGCCCCTTGTGATATCCATTGCAATATACATTAGTGTTTAAAGGCTTGAGAAGTTCTGCAATAAAGATACTAAGTAACTTGACTTAATGCAATGCTTTCCAATGCATTCAAAATGGAATCCCTTTTTCTACATATTATCATTTGCAAAATAGCAGAGAGCAAAAAAACAAAAAGAGAAGGGGGAAGAATTAGATGCCCTCTAAAGTGAGGACAAGTTTAGAGCTCAGGCAATTATACTTAACTATTAGTAGCTAATATAGTTTATTATGAATATAAAATTATCTTTTCAGAAAGGTTGACAATGAAAGTTGGCTCTAAGTATATATATTTCATTCTGAAAACAAATAAAATGCATTTATATGAAGATTTACAAATAAAACATACTTTTCCCGTGAAACCTAGTGTCTAATTTGTAAACTCACCCACTACTGGGTTTGTTTGATTGCTATGTTTCCACGCCATCTCATAGTTGAAGGCAGCATCTGTGTATGCTTGTTCTTTTTCCATAATATATCCCATATACTCATAAGCTTTGCAGCAAGACTGAAGAAAAATGGAAGATGTATGATTATCAACAGACTAAACCGGATACCACTTAGATTTTAAGGGTGGTTTAAGACTACTGTGGTCAATCATAGTAACCTATTTAAATGGTACATAAAACAATGATTTTTAACCTTGGCTATATAATCAAATTGTTTACAGAAATGCTTCTGATGCCAAGCTTCCATCCTAAATCTATAGAATCAGGATTATTTTTTTTTCCTTTACTCAACCAGAAATACGTATCAGGTCATGTGTATTTTATACATATACATGTATACAATTTATTATGACTCATTTCAACACACACAAATGAAGAATAGAATGAACTCCACAAACTAATAGATTAATCATGACTAATAGTGTTTCACCTCTACCCCACACACCTGTTCTTCTGTATTACCAGAAAAAAATCCTCAAGTGCTGGATCATTTCATTCATACTCATCTATCAGCGTGCATCTCTAATATAAAGACTTTCTTTAAACGCAACCCGAATTTAGCACACCTACTATGTAACAACTCCTTAACAGCACCAAATATCTAGTCACATCAAATTTCACACTGTCTTAATATGATTTTTCTTTTCTTTAGTTTGTTAGGATGAGAATTCAAGAAAGGCCCATACATTGTGACTGGCTGAAATGTCCCCCAAGTATCTTTTGATCTAGAGGTTTCCCTCTGTCTCTCTCTATGTGTGCCTCTTTTCTTAAAATTAAATTTAGTAGAAATGGGAATATTTATCCTAGAGTTTCTCACAACCCAGATTTTGTTGACAGCATCCTTGTGGTGTTTACATAATATCTTCCTTTGTCACTGGTGTTTCCCGGAAACTGTAATTAGATCTAGAAGTCTGGACTGGATTTTGATTTGGGGAGAAAGGGGTAAAACAATTTCATGGATTGGTACCATAATAAGTGACATCAGAGCATGAGGCAAAAGGAAAAATGCACAATCCTGGATGCACATTTTAATGTATTTTTTTAATTGCATTTTTTTCTAGAACATTAGTTTAAAAATATTAAAAAGTGGAAAAGTAGGTATATTAAAACTCACATTATTTTAAGATTGAGTATTTTATTTGTATCTAAACCAAATTTTTTATAATTTTACTTTTCTCACTTTAATGGAAGACATTTCATCATTATATTTTTATTAAAACCATTACTCATTTTAAAAAGATAAAAAATATTACTATAGGGACACACAGGTTCCCTTTTGATTCAGGCTCCAATATAGGTCAGTGCAACACACTCAGATGCTATTTCATTTTTTAATGTTTTATTTGATTAAAAAAATACTGCATCAATGTACTGTTTATCCTGATTATGAGTGCTACACTTTTCCCGCCCCAGCTCTGGCCGTGTCATAGACGGTATGTTCTTTCATCAGTAAGCACAGAATATTTGATTCTCCCTCCTTTTGTGATGTTATACTCATATGTAAATTTATCAGGGTTGAAAAATGATGATATTTTATTAGTCTTTCTTCATTTATTAGCTGGAAAATGTCTATAATGAAAACCTCACTTTACCTACTGTTTGGTTACTCAACAGTACAGAAAGGCAAGATAAATCCTTAATCCCTTACCTTTACTTGCCAGTTTTAGAAATAGTAATTCATTAGCATGTTGCAGTGGTGACCAATTACGTTTTTTTTCTTTTGTGGATATTTGGAAGTCATGAATTTAACAGATTTGATGTATTTCCTATCTACTGCTGTTATTATTCTTACTGATATTTCGAGTGCCTGTCTTAACTTTTTGCTCTTGGGAGTGTCTTCAAGTTGGCCCTAAACACTTGACACAACTCCCTAACTCCCTCCCTCCCTCCCTTCCTTTGTAGAGATAGGGTCTTTCTATGTTGCCCAGGCTGGTTTTGAACTCCTGCCTCAAGCGATCCTGCTACCTAGCCTCCCAAATCGCAGGGATTACAGGTGTGAGCCACTGTACCTGGCCTCTAGTTATTTTTGATAGGTTCCCTGTTGCCTGGTATGACAAGATGTTTTAGTGTCATATTGTACATTTCCTGCCCCAGATCTAAATGGTTTCTATTGCTTTAATTATATAAACCAAGGTTCCTAAGCTTTAGTTCCTGAATCTCATGTTTCCAATTATCAACATGCCTAACCAGCAGAAATGAACAAAATCCGTAAAGTGGCCACCATGTTCAGCAATACAATGTATTCCTGATAGTGCCCCAGCACACTGAAATTCTGTGTGCATAAAAAGCTTAATTCCCATGCAATCCTAGTTAGTCCTAGACTATTTAGCAGTTTAGATTGTCAAAGCCTATTAAAGAGTATTCTGTTTTTCAAGATCAAGTTAACTTAAAATTGATACAAAATATCATTTAGAATAGTCTATCACATTGATAAATGGCTGTACCTTTTAGGTTTTTAAATTAAGAAGGTATCTTAATAGTATTAGATAATCATAACTCCTCTTTAAAAAAACAAGTTATCCATTTGTAATCTAATTTGCTCAATGAGAATAAAACATGTTTACTGTGATTAATATTTTGAAGTAGTAATTGATATGAATATGTGAAGATAAATATCATTAAGTTTCTAAGTTGAGTATAATTATTTCCCAACAAAAACTAACAAAAACTTTAATTTTTAAAACCTACTGGTCAGCACTGTGGCTCACGTCTATAATCCCAGCATTTTGGGAGACCAAGGAGAGAGGACTGCTTGAGCTTAGGAGTTCAAGACTAGCCTAGGCAACATAGCAAGACCTTGTCACTTTTAAAACAGTAAAAAATAAGAATAAAATATACACGATGGAATATTTTGCAGTCATAAAGAACAAAATCATGAACTTCACAGCTACCTGGATGGACTTAGAGTCTATAATACTGAGTGATCTTTCATGGAAACAAAGAATTGAGTATTACGTGTTCTCACTCATAAGCGGACCTTGAACAATTATCATAATACTACAAGAAAAGGATTGACAGTAGTGGGAAACTGCCAGGAAGGGGATGGGAAAGCAGGATTGGCAGTAGTGGAAGTCTGCCTGGGGAAGGGAGGGGGCACACCTCATCAACAAGGGTACCTGCATAATGAACATTTTATTACATGAGCATACCTAACCTTGAATTGTACCCCACATGTTTAAAATTAAAAAACTAAAAGTTATAAATAAAAAAGAAAAAATAAATACTGTTATAAAATATCTTTTTATGATTAAACATCAACATGTTAGTAAAAAACCTTAAATCCTAAGGTTTTATAATTTTCAATTTTATACCTAAAAATAAGGAGTTTTTATTAAATAAATCAAATTAAAAGCTGAAAAGACTTTCCCCACAAAATATATTATGCATAGTGGATTCTAATAATGTGGAAATGACATGCAGCTGCAGTAAATTCATCAAGAGTGTTTCTTAATAGGAGGGACAGACGTCCGCAATTAATGTTGTTCTGCAATTTTCATTAGTTCTGGGATGAGATGGATAATCACAAGTGAATGCTTGACATTCCCAAAACACTTTCTATTAAGTAGGGCAGCACTATAGCTGAAACTTGAAACTATAAATCTCTCTCTCTTTTTTTACTTGCAAGGGGAAATGGCTTATTTCTTATTATTAATGTTTATTTCCTTACTGTCCTAAGAATAAACATTTACTCTTCAGAAAATACACAGGAATTCTTGGACATAGACCAATGCTCTATAACACCTATGATAGTAAGTGTATGCAACAAAAGTTAACAACTATTTTTTACTCTTCAATCACCTACTCTATTATGACGCAGGCACTGTTTCAATAGTTCTTCTGCCATGTCGTATTTTGCTGATTGAATATAAATATCAGCAAGTAGTAGCCAACTCTTCTCAAACTCTTCAGCATCAATAGCATTCCAATTCATTTTTGAAATCCGCTTCAGCTGGTTTCTGGCTTTTGGAGTCTGTTTCAAGATCATATAGGCTGTTGCCATTCCCAAGAGTGCTGGGATATGATCCTTCTATAAGAAAATAAATTTTTAGACCACTACATACACAAATATAAATGTCCTGTTTAAAAGAAAAGCACATGATAAGCAGCAACTGTGACATAGCATAATAAGAACTAGACTGTGGAATCTAGTTCTAGTTTCAATACAGATAACTGTGGTTATGGTCATTATTTAACACATCAAGTAAACTCAAATAATCAAAAAATCTTGGTCAGGCATGTGTGGTCAAGATAATTCAAGATAATGGCAACCATTCAGATGCCATCACCACACAATTCTAACAATTAGTGAGTCCAACTTCAATGGAATTGAAACAACTATGTTTTTGTTATGTACAGAAACAGAATAAATAAAATTTCATTTCAGTAAAATCCTTATTGAGCAGTTTGCATTTCAATATAACATTTTAGCTCTTTAGTTCTTTTACCTGTTCAAGAAGAATAACAAACAATGAGTTATAATCCTTATCATATTGACTTCTATTGCTCTCTGTTCCTCCCTTCTTCTTATACTCAAAACCTCTTCTCCCAATAAAGTTTGAACAATGAAAGGTTATGAGTAAGGCACACAATTAATCACTTGGAAATTATATAAAATAAATTCATGACTTAAAATATGCTCTTAGATTTGGAATCTGCAGCTTCCTGGGAGGGTCTATAAAGCACGATCATCTTTTCAATAGGGTTCAAAGTCAGAAAATGTTATTCTGTGAAACCAATAGGCTAATAAAAATTGGTATTAAAATAGAGGCCACTAGGGACCTATCCATAAAACTAACTCATGAAAGCAATAATGTGTATGTCCCTGATTAAGCTAGGCTGCTTCTTAAATTTCCACAGAGGGATTATGACGCTTTTATAAAAAAAGATGAAGGCCTCAGCTTAAAATACAAATAAAGGGTGAGAAACTGTGACTTAGAAATTGTAATATCATGAATATAATAAAGGTGCACTGTAAGATAGCAAATTTTGATAACTATTAAGGAATACTGTAAAAGGGAAATAGAGTGGTAAAATGTTCAGTTCAATACTGATCATAGTTGGAAGTCAGAAATAATCCTAGAATAGAGAGGGACAATTCACTAGGGCTTTATGAAACAGGTTTTAGGAACATAACTTCCTTGGCTCTAATTCTATGTCTATCAATTAATTTCCAATATACAATCTTTTCCCCTAGGTAAGATATAGCAAAACTGTTTCATTTGAGTGCCAAATACCAACTGGTATTAGATTTTGAAGACGTGTGGGATAAAAGAAGACAGAAAACAGAGTCCTACTATGTATTTGTCAGCCAGTTTCTAGACAGCCTAAGAAGAGAAGGCTCCTGTGAAAAGCTCCCACAACTATACACATGCACAAAAATATCCCACACAACATATTTAAAAATAAGTCTCTGATTTTAAAACCACAATCACACATCTTGAGTTTGATTAGAATGTCATCAGTTCTTTACGACTTGATCACTCCTGTGTGAACTGGGAAATAGTTTCTAAAACTGCAAACCCAAGTCCTGCATTAGATCTGCATTAGACCATGATGTCTTTTTTTTCTGGTGCAGACATCCTAAGACCTATGGCCAGTTTCTCTCTCTCACCCTTAGTTACTTTAAACGGCAATAACTTTAGATGGCAGAAGATTCAGGTGTGGAAAATATAGCTCTATTATAAACAACTCACTTTTATGGTTCAAGGTGATGCAGTGAAAACACTTCAGCTTGGGCTTAATGTATCTTCCGCCATTTCCTCCATGACTTCCTGTTCAGAACTCTTTTTCAATCCCTCTAAATGACAGACACTCAGGGTTGCAAACATACCCTGTGCTTTTCCACCTCTCTGACTTAGTTCATATTTTCCCCTTTATCTAGAACACACTTTCTTTATTTCTGCCTGTTAAAATACAATTTATCTTGTTTCTTCAAATCATATCTGTTTCTTAAATCATACTTTGTTCACAAAACTCTCCTTACAACATCTCCGACAGCATTTTTATCTGCAATTCTAGGACAGACTAGAACATATTTTGCTTTGCAGTACAGTCATTATAGTCAGCATGTTTGCCTCATCTTCTGTAGACAATGAGACACTTGAAAAAAGGAACCATGCATTATTTATCTTTGTGATTCCCGCTATGCTTAGTACTCACTGGTTGTTTAATGAATACATGTTAAACTGACTATATGAAGCCTATGAGTTAAAATTTTAAAATGTGAGATAAAATTCAATGTTTATGAAACTTTAGCTCACACGTTAATATTTGGATAATATGGATTAGTAAAGAGATTTGAAGATAGTATATTACTAACCACATATATTAAGGATGATAGAAAATAATGCAGTCTCATCAACACAGAAAATTGACATAGTGTTTCTAGGAAAGAGCTGTAATATCATTCATTCACTGCTTTTGGCTGTTCTCTCTCTCTTAAGCTCCACAGCAGGAATAATCGGTTTACTCAAAATAAAATCCCTCATTGTTATGTGACAGAACAGGCCTTCACAGCATTCAGTAGTTGTGGCACCTGACTTGAGATTGTGCTTCCTCTTGTTCTTACGGCTTTTTATAGAGTTACATGATTGTCCTACTTCTGCTCTCCATTCAGCAGCTGTCATCCATCTGCTGCACAAAGCCAACTCAACAGAGCATGACCCTTGAGAACATTAATTCTTCAATGTCTGCAGAAGGGCACTGCTTTAGAGGGTTACCACTGCTGATGCTACCTGCTATTTTATTCCAAGTGTGGTTTACAGCGGTAATAAAGCTGCCATCTTGGATACTTGTATCCAAACCACAACAGGAGCTATAGGTCTCCCAAACCCCTGAGATCTCAAACTCCTCCAGGGTCCTGGAAGGTGAGGGGAAACATAATTGCAGGAGGTTTTAGGGAGTTTATTGTTACCACTGTGGCCTCTGAACCACAGAAAACACAGCAAAATTCTGTATGTCTTCTAAGAGACACAAAATGATGAGTTTTCAAGGAGAAGAACAAACATGAAATCTAATGAGCAACTGAACTAGCTATTACCAACTGATGGAAAGAGAACCTAGTAGTCCTTTCTTAATGGAAAGGAATTAAAGAAATACAGCACTGCATGAGGGAAGGAAAGCAAAACAACCAAGGGGTGAATTTGAGTAGGGTGAAAAGAAAAGAAAGCCTCTGATTTTCTAATAGTATTACAAGAATAATAATAATGAAAGATTGAAAGAGGTTATTTCATTGTGGGTAAGAACATCACTATTTGAATGACTGAATTATAATTGTCAATATTGATCTCAGTCCCTAGAGCTGGAAAAATTCCAAGTTCACATAAGTGGAAAGGTGAAATACCAAGGCAGCTAGGTGTTTATTTCCACTTAGTGAGTTAACTTAGGCTAGATGTACAACACAGAAATTCTCTAGAGGATAAAGTCATTTCCTTGAGAATTAACTTTGCACTTCTGAAGAATTCCTTCTCTAGAATTTAACACACTGGTAGAGATAAATTTATCAATAACATATCAACAACACTGTCACTTCTGGAAACAGGACATTATGTAAAATTATGGCAAACGACATATCTAATATTTTTTACTGTTTTCTTAAGCTTTTATTTTCCTTTTCCACATGTGCAAACAAAACATTGTTTTTATTATAAACATAAAAATAATGAAGTCAATCTTCAGAAAGTAAATAAATAATCAAAATACATCTTTCTACACCACCAAGGAAAAGTAACAGATGAAGTTAAAAAATAAAATCTACTAACCTCAGATGATGCTATTGCGGTGAAGGTATTTAATGCTTGCTCAACATTAGATTTCTGTTTGGTAGCCATTAGGCAATAGTTTTCCATTATACGAAGCTGTAAGTGACCCTGAACGGTCTGAGGTTTTAGTTCCTTAAGAAGTTTTTCTGCTGTTCTCACTGCTAATTGTACAGACTCCTGCTTCTCAGATGAATTACTATAGACAATTAAAAATAAATAACATGTTTATTACTCATAATACAATTCATTGATATTAGAATCAGAGCTTTAGAGTACACTAGTTGATTTTTGGTTACTCATTTAAAATCCTTTGTGCTATAGATCACTTAGTATTATAGCCTCTAAGTCCATTCAAGTTGCTGCAAAGTTCATAATTTTTTCCTTCTTTGTGGCTGCGTAATATTCCATTGTGTATATGGCGATCTATCACAGAAACAAAGACCCAAGTATCACATGTTCTCACATATAAGTGGACCTTGAGCAACTATCATAATACTATAAGAAAGGGATTGGCAGTAGTGGGAAGCTGCCCGGGGTGGGGGGGGGCGACAGTAGTGGGAAACTGCCAGTGGGATAGGTGGGGGACACCTCATCAACAAGGGTACCTACATAATGAACATTTGTATATGTAACCCTGAATTGTACCCACATATTTAAAATTTAAAAAAAAACCCTTTGTGAAGAATGTCACTCATTCTCTTCTAATGCAAAGTGAAGCACAGTTACAATTAACATAGCCTCAGTAAAACACCACTAAGCATTAATTTATTCTAGAATGAAGATAAAATTTGGGCAATATCTACATATAGTAAATGTGTTCATTTCAGCTACTATAAAACTAGAATAAAAGTAGAAGCAGAAAACTATCAAATGGTATATCTATTTGGAAAGTGAAAGGAAAAAAAGGAAGAAAAATAAAGTGCCAAGTACAGTATTATTTTATTCTATCTATTTTGAATCCATTTTACATACAGGAAAACTGAGGCTCACACAGGTGAAGTAATTTACCAGAGATCAAACAGCTAATAAATGGTAAACCTGGGATTTGAATCTAAGTTTGTCAGGCATATAAATCTATTCTATTGCCTATCGGATTCTCAGAAAAGAAATTATGTATGTGTCAAAAGGTGAATTTCAAGTAGAACAATTTAAATATTGAATAGCAATTTTCTCATTTTTTTATACATAAACAGGTATATACACACGTATAAATCAATTAACAAAAAGAAATTAAACTCAAAGTACTAAAGCCATTGGTCTTTTCTCAGTTCTTTTTATCTTATCTAAAACATTTCACACTATTGGCTATTTTCTTCAAAGCTCCTCCCTTTGGCTTCTGTAACACTGTACAATTTTAGTTCTCTTTCTACCATTCTGATTGCCCCTTTCTAACCTTCCTTCCTCATCCAGACCCCTTAAATGTTAGCATGCCCAGAATTTACTTCTCAGACTTCTGTTACTACGTTCTACTTGCAAAGAGGAAATTCATGGAGTTCCAACTATTCGTTCTGCACAGATGTTTCCCAAATCTGTATCTCCAGCTGTGACCTCTCTTCTAAGTTCTAGTTTTATATTTTGAATTGCTTACACAAGATTTCTACTTGGATAGCCTACAGTTCTATTAAAGTATGTTACCTCCATCACAAAATAAATATGCCACTTCCTTGCTCTAAAACTTTCAGTGGTCTCTGTAATCCAAGACTCAAAATCTGTCATTGAAACCTCTCAGCAACCTAGTTCTAATTTTCTCCTACAGTTCCAAGCATCTTCCCCTGATTACTATGTACTATCTACTGCTATGATTCCTATGAACTCCTTTAATACTTTTATCCCATTTTTGTTTTGCTGTAGATTTAACAGTTCCGGGTATTGTCTTGCCATCTAGGTAAATTACATGTTCCTGAAGGCAGAAACAACCTTATATCCCTTTACATCCTTATACAACCCCCACCATGATCTGCCCAATTCTTAGGAGAGGACAAGCAACAAAGGCAGTTTGACAGAAATATAAGTATTTACCAGCAGTGTACCACCATAGCGCCTAACAGCTGGAGCTTTGAGGTCAGGTATAACTCAGTCTACAATATTGCTTCCATTACTACTATCACATACACAAGTTGACTCGGCTTATTTTGTAATACTGTTGTAGGAAACAAATGAGATAGTGCATATAAAGTAGGGAGCACAGAGTTGGGCAAATAACTACCATTTGTTAAGTAGCTACTACTATTTTGCAGTCAATTTTTGCCATACTTGTTAAATTCTGTAATTTATTTTCAACAGAGTAATTAGGGGATTGTCTTCATAGCATGTCTATTCTGATTTAGAAACCTAAAAGCATTTTATGTCTATTTCAGAGAATAGTTATTTTAGCAATGATTTAGTCACCTGACCTTTCATTTCTGCTATCTTGGAATTAAGTTCCCTTTTGTAAAGTATCCCTGCCAATTATCTCCAAGAATTTGCTTGTTTATTTGCTTGTTTTGTTTTTTAAAAAAATAATGTGTACTCACCCTAGGTCTCCATCCAGGTTTTCAAATACTTCACCTCCAATAGTTTCATTATCTGGATTCAAACAGATTTCTATCATATTATAAAGGGCATTTTGGCCCCAGTCACTATCTTTCCGAGCTTTATTAAAATGTCGAAGGGCATCATTTGGTTCTCCAGTATACCTTGTTAGATGTTTAATAAAAAGTATTTATTTCAGTCACTGACTACAAAATTTATACTAGCTTGTAATCTATTTGGTCAATAAAAATATTTTCAAACATAAGTATTTCTTATTACAAAGAGAAGCTTATTCTACTTGATTGACAATGAGAAAAGCTATTACATAGGATCTATTTGCCATTAGATTTACCAAAGATATAGTCCTTTACAGTACAGAAATCCCGGCTCCAATTTTGCTCTGGAGTTACGTTTCTCAGCCATTAAGAAAAATCTTGGGACATCCTCAAGTTTTCCGCATCTTCTTAGGAGATCAATCAAACGAGATAATGTCATATAATTATCTAGAAGCAAATAATACTGATTCAGATATTGGCAACACTTTATAGTTTTTGTTTTGATGATTATAATTCAACTTTACTGAAGTACAATTTACTGCAATGAAGTACAACTTAAACATAAGTAAAGGAATGCCTCAGGGGCTGTAAGTCCCTAAGGAGAATGTATGGCCAACTGGATGATCTACTACATGATATAGGTTGGGCTGGGCTGGTCACAAGGAGATAAGGTTCTAAATAGGAAAATCTAGAGAAATGCACATTTGTTGTAATTTTTACTTAAGGAGGTGAGAATAATGAACTTGACAATGATGTTTGGAGTGGGCAATGAGGAATATTATTCCAGGCTTTCTTTAATATGTGTATATACCTACCATATCAGATATCAGACACTAGCTTACTACACTATAACCTTAACATATTGGTCCCAGCATTTTCATCCTATTTCTCCTTCTTTTAAGAATTAGTTCAGTTCTTTGGTCTCTGGTAGTTTCCTGGCAGTCTCCTAGAAAGCCTTCTTATCCCAATTCTATCTAGTTCTCTTTTATCACTAACATACTCAGCCTTGAGAGAAGCTTAATAAATATTTCTTAGGATTATAAAAGTAATGTATGGACACTTTAGAGAATAAGGAAACATACAGAAAAGTGCAAAGAAAAAACAATCACTCATATTCCCAGCTAGAGAGTATCACATTTTAGTGTGCCTTCTTTCATATATTTATGAGCTAAAAAATCAATTTATAAATATATAACTGCAAGCAGAGAAATACATATCTTTGCTTATATTTATAAAAAAATTAATCTTTGCTTACATACTTACAAAATTGGAGTAACACTTGGAGTAGTTTTTGATTGGTTTTAATGTTGATTTTGATCAATATTAAACAGTAACCATTTTCCAACTGCCATTAAATAACCTTCCAAGATAAGATTAAATAATTTTTTTTTTTTTAGAGACAGGTTCTTGCTCTGTCACCCAGGCTAGAGTGCAGTGTCACAATCACAGCTTGCTACAACCTCACAGTTCACTGTAACTTTGAACTCCGGGCCCAAGCAATCCTCCCACCTTATCCTCCTGAATAGCTAGGACTATAGGTATGCACTATCAAGCCCACCTAATTTTTAGAGAGGGGGTCTTGCTATACTATCCAGGCTGGTCCCAAACAATCCTACCATCGTGGCCTTCCAAGGCACTGGCATTATCAGGGTGAGCCACTGCGCCTAGCCCAAAACATGATTTTTAACAACTACATAAGTCTATTTCACTGGTGATTCACATTATTTATTTCTCTATAGTTGTGCTTTTTAGGTGTTTGGGCTCTCAAGGTTTAGGAATTTTTAGGGGACTTGGGAAAATCCTAATGTAGCTATTCTGAACACATTCTTAGGGTAAATTCCTAAAATTAAAACATATACACAAACAAACAAACAAAACTCTTTTAAAGTAATTTATCCCTTGATCCTATTTTTCAAGAAAAGAGAAGGTGGCATATAAATCAACAATTTCACTTCTGAATATATATTCAAGAGAACTAAAAGCAGGGACTTAAACAAATATTTGTAAGCCAGTGTTAATAGCAGCATCATTCACAATAGCCAGAAAGTAAAAACAGCCCAATGCCCATCAATGAACAAATGGATAATCAAAATGTGGTATGTACACACAAAGGAATATTATTCAGCTGTAAAAAAGAAATTCTGACATACACTGTACCCATGGATGAACTTTGAAGATATAATAGTAAGTGAAATAAGCCAGACACAAAGGGACAAATGCTACCATTTACATAAGGTACCTAAAAAAATAGTGAAATGATAGGAAGTAGAATGGTGGATGCTAGGGGCTGGGGAGGGGAATGGGGAGCTTGTGTATGGACTTAAAGTTTGGAATGGTGAAAAAGTTTTGGAGATGGATAATGGTGATGGCTCACACATCATGTGAATGCACTTAATGTCACTGAACTATACACTTAAAAATAGTTACGATGACAAATTTTCTGCCAAGTAACAGAAACTTAGGTGAGACAATATCCACATGACACACGAAGACTTCTTCAAATCTTCAAAAAACTATAACGTGTGAGGGCGATATCGCTGAGAATGGCTTTAAAATATTCACAAAGAAATAAGTCTGTTTTATAAGAAACAAGGTTAGATCAATGCCTCAAAGGCAAAGACTGTGAAATGAGAATAGAATGAAAAATTACTTGCATTACCTTTAAATGGGAGTTCTTAGGAAAATAGGACAAAAAGTCTAGAGCCCAAGGTAGAAATGCCAGAAAAAAAATGACACAGGCCTGAAGAAATAAAAGTAGGTTTGGCAATATGGGTGGGGAGATAGGCCCACATTTTGGACTCAAAGTGAGTAGAAGAGGAAAGGTTGTTAGGTAATAACACTAATAGCACTCTTTCAAATAATATCTAAGTATCAGCTGGACTAGACAGGGCAAACAAACAAATAAAATGGTCTGTGGTATACAAAGGTGGGAAAAATGTTCGTAGAAAAACAAAAATTAAAATATTACTACAAAAACAGACCACATTTTTTTCCTTTCAAACTTTGCTTTACCTAGGGATATTTGATTTTGAAGTACAAAGTGATGTTCTCTAAATTCAAACTTGTTTTTATTAAAAGCCAGAGTAAAGGAAACATGTAGAGCCTATCTGGTTCTTTGAGCTGCCCTGCTTGAAGTAAAACCACTTTTGTGTCTATGCTGCCATAGACAGGCGACTCTGACTGCTGGTGGCACCTTCCTGAGATGAAGGCATTAGGGTTTAGAAGAACTAAACATAGCTCTAGGACTTCCCCTGCCATTCAAACTCTTTTTAGTAACCATAGGTAACATACAGTCATTTCTAGTTCAAACAGTTCCCACCTTCCTCTCTTCTCCCCTCTCCTTCCTCCCTCCCTGCTTCTCTTCCTTCCTAGTCTCTCCCCATTCTCCTTTCCACACGATATTCATTGAGCACCAACTCAGTCAGATACTATTCTAAATTCTGGAAACACAGCACAGACAACACACTTTCTGGCTACCTGATGCTTATGTTCTATAAATTATAGCTTTTTTTGTTTTGTACTGCAAAGGCTATACACAAACAAAAAATATTAGAAAAGCAACCCCCCTCCCCCAAAAACCGAACAAATAAAAAAACAGTCTAAAAAAATAGAGAGCATTCTCCTCTCTTTCCACTTTCCTGTTTCTCTTGCTTTCTCACTCTCTGTCTCTATCTCGACAGGGTCTCCTTCTATCACCATGGCTGGAAGGCAGTTAGTTGTGTGATTCTAGCTCACTGCAGCCTTGAATTCCTGGGCTCACAGCCTTCATGCAACACCATCCTTTCTGAGCCCATGCACTTCTCAACTCACACTGACAGGATCAGGGAAGGATAGCTGTGCTGGTGCATCTGTTCACTGACTGGTTATCCATCAGACTGGAATCTGATCTGCCTCATGGACAAATCCTGCCTTTCCTCATAGGTTTCCCTCACTAAGTGGTATGAGCCTCTTCTCCTTCAACTGCAACCCCCCCCCACCAAATTAAAAAAAGAATGGAGAGCAGTAAGTGGTGCTACCTGATACGGGATAGGTGGGGAAAGGTGTTCTAGGGAAGAAGCAACACCAGAGCAAAGACCTGAATGAAAATGAAGCAGCACCCAGATGAACACTAGGGAGGAGCATATTCCAGAGAGGGAAACAGCAAAATAAAAGTCTCAAGCATGGGCTGTTGCCTACCTAATTTCTGCTGTCCCTTTCTTCTTTACAATCAGATTTTAGAATTCTGTTTTTGGTCTAAGTGGCATCATGTTTAAGTAGCTAAGAGATAACATCTCCCACCTTCCTTGGCAGCCATAGAGGTGATTTTTAACCCTCTGCACTCGGAGACATCTTGTTTGATGTCTTCCACCTGGTGTTCTTCTATTCGAGCAGACAATGCAGTCTCATTTTCTTCTTCCCACATTAATATGTAATTTATCATCCAGTTTGTTGTTTGAAGATGTGGAAAGAGTCACCCGTAATTCCTGAAAACCACTTCTCAACTGATCAATCATTCTCAGTATATTTTCCAAATCTCTCTTTGTTGGCTTTTTTGTGAAATTTGAATGGAAAACTTCAAAGAAATATACAGTTTTGAAAAAATTTGTGCTTGCATAAATTTGTCCTGTATAATCACCACTGATCTCTTTATGTCCCCTGAGAGATGACATCCGAGTGGTTTGTTAGATTTATGATGTCCCCTAAGAGGGGACATCAGAGTGCATAGGGTCAAAGAAAAAATGATGATACACTGGGAGAACCACGTACACCTTCCCCATCCAAGCCCAGGAACATCAATGTCAAGTGCTGCAGTGGTCACTGTGGGTCATGAAGTGATGCTCAAAGTAGAATTCAGGCTGATGACAGTAGAGCAAAGACAGAACTCAGGTCTCATGATGGTACCATGGAAGCTCCATGTCATTCACTGCACAGTCTACTTTTAAACTTCTTTTACAGCAGAGAAAAATAAGAGGCACTCTTTTTTAGGCTTGAATTTTTTTTGGGGGGGGGTGGGGTCTCTGCTAATTTAGCTCAAAGCATTTCTAAACTCTTAAGAGGCAAGGAATGGAAACAGATGAGTTAGGAGGTTGCTGCAATAATCTATGTGAAGGATGGCAATGGCTTAGGCCAGGATGTTAGTAGTAGAGGGTTTAAAAAGTGATGAGATTCTTGATATAGGTCAGGTAGCACTAACAAGGATTTGCTGAAGACTGAATACGATATGTGAGAAAACAAGCCAAAGATCACCATGAGGTCTGGGGCCTGAGTAAATGGTGAGTGATGATGCCATTCAATGAGATGAGAATGGAGGGAGAATAAATTTAGAAAGAAGGAAAAGATCCAGTGTTCTATTTTAGAAATGTTTAAGTTTGAGATCCTCTTAGACATCTGAATGGGAATGCAAACAGCAGAACTGTATATGAGTCAGGGCTGGATGTACATGTTTGGGACACATCAGATGAGACCATATATATGGGACTACAGATGGGGGTCATGAACCTGGAAAGGACAAATGCTGGGGAGTGGGTAAATTTGGTGATGGAAAATGGAGTTGTTTTCTTCCAGGTGCTCATATTTTGTTAGTGAAGTAAGCTGCAAGGTTTTTAAGTGAAGGCAAGAAAGGGGGGAAAAGGTGTTGGAGGTTTGGGGAACAGGAGAAAGTGTGAAAAGTGGCTGGAGTGAGTGAATACATTATTAAAATGCAGTAGGACTGCCAGGCAGCTCTTGAGGGCCACTGGAGATTTGTGAAGTAAGATGAGTTAACAGCGATGCGCTTTCCTTACAGCCATTTCAGTTACTCAAGCCCATGTGTGGAGTAAGCAGAGAGCCCAATTCTACTAGGTTTGTCCTTTTCTCAATTGTGTAACTCCTAAACAGAGAAGAAAGGAGAAAGGGAGGTGACTCGATTGAAAAATTATAATCAGTGGGTATTTACCTGGTTTGCGTTCTAAAAGTTGTTGTAAATGAAACACTGCTTGTTCATAGTCCTGTTTTCTGAACATGACATCAGCCATCATCTATAAAGATAAAAGTTGGCTCTAAAAATACTGCCATATATTTTTACAAAGCATATTTGTCCAGTCAAGATTTAGCACTAGAAAAATACACATGAAAAACATGAGGCAGGACAGTTTTACAAAAAAGGAGCCATTGCAAATTGAGGACCAAAGGGAGGCCCAAACGTTACCTATACAATGTCCACATGTATACCTAATCCTGAATTGTACCCCACATCTTTAAAATAAAACCATATATATATAAAGTTCAGGCACACCTTGAGCAGACTGCCTTGGGGATCAGTGGAACAGAAGATAATAAAAGATGCAAAACAGATTGTTCTACTTGCAAAACTGTATTTTTATCAAAAAATGTTTCTTGCGGTTGTTTTAAAAAAAAGAAATTTGAAAGGGATTGTACATTTTCTGCACTGTTGTAGAAAAGACACCTCACTGGAATTTTGACTAAAACACCAGTGAGAAGATTTTGAAACAAAACAAATCTTAAATATTTTAAAGGAATGTAAAATGAGCAATACCTACAGAAATTTTCTTATTATACGTTTTAAAAGGGAGACTTCTTAAATCCTTCTTAACTACAATAATAACTTTAAATGAACCTCATAAAATGTCAACCATGCAGCTGTTTGAACAGTTAACAAATGCTTTAATCCAGGTTAAAAATAAGATAAAAAAAGCAAAACTCTATTTAAAACAGCCTTAGAATGATACACAAAGATTTTTTTCCTCTGTAACTTCAAAAGTTCCACCGAAACTCTTAAATTAGTCCAGTATGTCTAAGTAAGTACTTAAAAGTTTGGTTAGTCCTTAGTAAATTATAGTTTTACCACATGAACTCAGCCTGACCCAGCATCTCTTAGGCATAAAGAAAAATTAACTAGACCCAAAAGGGCAAGTAAAGGCCTGACCTAGGTTTATATCATTCTTATAAATAAAATGCTAACGATTCTTGGTCTTTATTGCTAAAATGTTCTAATGTTAGAAGTACATTATTTCTTCCAAAAGTCAACCTAAATCATGCCTCACCATCTAGTATTAGTTCTATGGGGTAAAATTTGAGACTTTCACTTGGAAGTTAAAATATAACTGCTTTTATAGAATTCAAGTCTCCTAGACTCACTGTGGTGGCAGCTTCATTATCCTGGTCAGTTTGGAGCAGTAGTGCACAGTGCCGCAGGCAGGCGTCCGGCTCATCCTGTGCCAGGTATAACCGTGCCAATTCCAACAAGATCTACAGAGCAAAAGGCAGAGCAGTCAGACACTGTTTTGGAATAAAAGGTGAATGAGGAAAAGATCTGAAAACTGATAAACTTGAGGTGGCCAAAAGTTACTTCAATCAAAACGCCAAGTATGATACACAAAAATTCTATAGACAGTCCTATCTCTATGTTCTCTTAGACTAGAGGAAAAACAAAAAGTCACTTGAAAAGCAGAGACATAAGGTATTGTGAAAGGAGTGCTGATCTTAAACCCAAGAGATGGGAATCTAGTCCCAGCTTCTCCATGAGGGGGCCTGGTTGAGCCCCTTTACCTCTCTAAACCTGCTTTCTCTCTTGCTAAGTAAAAAACTTCTGGCATATCATCTTTAAGGTATGCTTCAGATTTAAAACTAGGATTCCAACTCTTTTAGCTATCACTGAAAAAGTACCTGTTTGGCTATACCTTACTAAAGGCAGCTTCTGCCCTTTATCTGAAAGAACTATATTAATGAAAATGTTTGATTTTAATCCTTAAACTCTAGAATATAATTGTCTTTTGTTCTGCATCACTTACTTAAGTGCTTAGCCATTAATTAGAGTATTTAAAAAAATTAATCATGTATCCAGATCTTCTGAAATCTTGCCAGGGTAACATTTTCGTTTATATAACCAGCCATGTATATACGTATATGACACATCTATTCTTACACTGTGCCACAGGAGATCACAGATTCGGTCTGGTCATTTTTGTATCCTCAGTACCAAGACTGAAATACAGAATGTACAGGGGCTGTTTAGAATACTGAATTGAATCATTTAAACGCAGATATTTATTTGTAATTGAGAAATTGTTTTAAAGTGACTAATAAAGTATAGATATTAAAAACAAAGAGCTTGCAAGTTTACTTTATATTACTTTTTCTATTATAAATTTTATGATATCTTAATTTAAGATATCATAAAAAGTATTTTGAAAGTTTTATAGAAACAATATTAATTTTTTTAACTTGTATTTTGTTATAAAAAATTTTCAAAATCCTCTATATAAAAAAGCTGGTAAGAATTTTACATTTGGGGAAATTAAGTGACATCTGGAATAAAAGGTACTTAAAATTTTACAAAGGTTCTGACCTTATTATCTGTTACACAATGAGCTAGAGCCTCTCTATAAAACTTAATTGCTTTTTCATAGTCTCGCTGAGCAACAGAATGTTTTGCAATCTCTGCACAAATTTCTGCTGCTAAATGTTTCTGTGTAGAAACTGCATCTGGCTGTTCCATCTGAACACGTTTTAGTACCCGAGCTTGTAATTCTCGAGCCTAGAAAAAAAAAGATAAAAAGGAATTTAAAAAAGGAATAAAGATAGGAAATAAAATACTTCTCAGTAACTCACACATAGCATAATTTTACAGACGCTTCACTTAGACATTATGGGCCCTTGATCTAACAAAGTCTGATCCAAGGAAAATGTTTTAAGATTTTAAACATGTGCTTGTTTGCAAATGGAGCATGTATATGAGGAGGACCCCCAAAAGCCCTAGAATTATCTTTTGGAGAGCAGGCCACTTGTAGTACACTTGGAATTTGTTCCTCCAGATCAAACAGTCAACCATAGTTTTTATCTTGATGTTTTGAGATGGTTGGTCCTGAGTTATGGCAAACAGGTGACTGGTTCTTCTTCCACACCTGCCCATGCTGCACTGTGTGTTCAACAGTTTTCTGTCAAAAATGGCATGAGCCCTGTGACCTACTCTCCCTATTCACCCAATCTCACCCAAAGCCACATATTTTTTGTTTTCCTGGGTGAAAAAAGTCCCCAAAGGGAAATGTTTTGCAGATGTGTAAGAGGTGAAATAATAAACGACAGAAGCATTTAAAAATGTATCAAAATTGACAGTTCAAAAACTGTTTTGAGCAGCAAAAAAAGTGTCTCAATAGGTGTACTACATCAAACGGAGAATACTTTGAAGGTGGCTGAGATTTAAACATGTAAGAATAAGTACATAATTTTTATAAACAAATTCCTGTTTTTTTTGGGTCCCCTATTGTACATCTTTCCAAATAAATACTGTACCATTATTGAGTCTTTTCCCACTATTATAAGGGTGCACAGGAAACTCACTATGGAGGAAATGCAACCATAAATCAAATACTTGGGAAAGCCATCAAGATGCAATAATATAATAATTAAAAATGTTTATTACATTAATAAAACAGTACGTTTCTAAAAATTATTAAATAAAATATTGGCAGGTTTCAGGCAATACGTCCATTTAAATAATACTGATGATATATAAATTAGTCCAATCTTTCTGGGAAGCATCCTAGCAAAACACATCTAACGCAGTAAAACTAATGAACTTGGTTCTTCCATTCTTGGGAATATTAAGGGCATAATTAGCAGGAAAAAAGGAAACTTGTTATCTGTTATAAAGGAAAAACAATCTCTGTTATTTGCTGTAAAAGCAAATAGTAACAACAATAAATAAAGAAAAACCTGGACACAATCTAAATGTCTAATGATGGGGAAAGGGTTAGTCTATTGATGGTGTATGTATCTATGGTCCTTTGTTATATATACACAGTCTAAAAAAAGGAGGTGAGGACCTTTCCCAGGTTAAGAATGAAGAGTAGGTTGCTAAATTGAGAGTATCAGTCTTTCCACCCATACATTTGGTTTCTGGAACACTGAGGACAGATAATCCCTATGTTTTAGGCCTTCACAAATAAAATTTAACTTTGAGCTATGGCTAATGATTCACTAGTACATTTATGTATTTATTTCACAAATAGTAAATGCCCACCATACGCCATATGTTATGCTACACACAAGGCACTCTTTTGGGGGCGCCTGTCAAAATGTTGGTTGACAATTGGTATTCAATGAAGATGGTTTAAAGCAGATAATTTTTTTTAGACCACAGGTTGAGGGGGGTCTTAATAGCATATTTTTGGAAGTGAAAGAGAAGTTGTTTGAAAATATGAGTATATATGATATGTGGTAAAGATTAACACTGCTTCATAAAATTTATATTTTGGTTATATTAATGTGTATTTACATAAGTATGTACATCTGTGTGTTTGGTGTTACATATATACATATACCTGTTCATCATCTTAGACACATACATGCATGGACACATGCTCCTGGTCAAAAAACTCAGAAAACAATTGGTCTACATAGGATGATGTGTCTGGAAGAAGGGGTCTTGCATCCCTGCACCTCTATACACTCAGATGTCCTCTTCTGCCATCACTTGGTCATCAGGAGAGTAAAGTCAAAAACGGAGAAATCCTCAGGTCCCTCCCCCAACAAGGACATAAACTCAAAAGCAGAGGCCTCCAAGCATTTTGTCCCATCATTTATGGCTCTACTCTGTCTTGCATCTGAACTTCGAATTGCAAAGGTGAGAAAGTGAAAATGGAAGAGAAAGTAGAACAAATATTTGTGATAGAGGTCCCTGGCAAACCACCCCCAGGGGATAGTTGCCCCTTTACCCAATAATGTAAGCGCTGATATCATTAGACCCTTAAGGACAGTCTCAATGTTTACACTTGTTGTCTCCTGTCCTCTTATCTTTTCAAAAGCACTCTATTTTGAATAATAAATTATATGGTCACACTAAGTCTACAAGATATGCAATTCATTTTCTAAGTAGTTTGAGTTTTATCTCTGCATCAACTAAATCTCAGAAAGCCAAATGTATGTACCTCATTAGCTTAGCTCTCTAGAGAAACGTATCTATGAGTTACATTTTTGTGTGATGCTTTGCCCCTCTCCTTCCTTCCCCTCCCCTTCCCTACCTTCTTCTCTTCTCTTGAGTCAGGGTCTCACTTTGCTGTCCAGGCTGGAATGCAGTGGCATAATCACTGCTCACCACAATCTCCAACTCACAGGCTTAAGCGATCCTCCAGCATCAGCCTCCAGAGTAGCCGGGACTACAGGCGCATGTCACAACACCCAGCTAATTTTTTAATTCTTTTGTAGAGACAAGTCTCACTATGTTGCCCAGGCTGGTCACAAACACTTGGGCTCAAGCAATCCTCCTGCCTCAGCCACCAGAAGTACTAATTATTACAGGTGTGAGCCACTGTGCCTGGCCCCATTTTCTTAAAGATAAATAATTAGGAAATTTTTTGAGTAATAGTACTTTACATTTTCTTAAGATATTTTATAAAAGAATCTCAATTTCTGAAAGAGCATATACAATAACCATTAAGAATATTTTCATTAAAAATTTGCATTAGCAATAAAATTTTCTTGAAGTGATTCAATTCTGTTTTTCCATGGTTTCCAGAAAGATCAGAGCTGAATTTAATTATCTGCTACAATAATTATAGTAGCCTTAATTGTCAACACATCTACTTTTCCTACCCCTTCCTATTTTATATTACATACTTATAAATTCCTCCAAATCCTTGGAAAGAATAATGTATAGATATAATCATCTTATTTTATAGACTTAATTCTTTCTTATTTATTGCAGTAGCTTTATTGCATACATATGTTACAAAATATCAATTCAAACTAAAATATACCAATTAAATGGAAATATTATTTTTATATGGTGAATATGGAACTACATACACATTGAAAAAAATCTAGATGTTAAATGAAAGAAACAAAAACATAATCTGTATATATTAATTATGAATGTATAAAATTATAGTTATAGTCATACAATTGTGAGCGTTTTATGTCACAGTGATTATTTCTGATTTAGATTTTATTTTCACAGAAAAGATTATGAATGTAATAAAAAGTGATTTTTTCCTATAATTGTTCACAGAATTAAATAAAATAATCTATGATTTTTTTTTCAGTTTAACAAAAATTTTTGTGCACCTATTGTGGTGGACAGACTTTAAAGTGGCCCTTATGATCCTTGCCTCCTCTGTGTAGGTGGAACTTGCTTGTGACCAACAGAACATGGCAAACGGATTGGGATGTTATTCCTGTGATCATGGGCATCATATAAGACTCTGTCTTGCTAGCAGACTCACTCACTCTAGAAACTTTCTCCCTTAATGGCTTTGAAGAATTAACTGGTCAGATCAGATGGCCCACCACGTAAGGAATTGTGGACCTCTAGGATCTGAGGATTCCTTCCAGCCAACAGCAACCAGAAGGAGCAGTCCTCAGTCTCATTGCCTTGAGGAAATGAATTCTGCTAACAACCTGTGTGAGATTGGAAGCCAACCCTTAACCAGACATGTTTCAGAAGAGAACCTAGCCCTGGACAATACCCTGCCTGTATCCTTGCAGAGGCCCCAGCCAAGCTGTGCTCTGACCCATAAAAGCTATAAGATAATGTGTGTATTGTTTTAATTGACTAAATTTGAGGTAATTTGTTACAGAAAACTATTAGGGCCTACTACAAGAAAAGCATTTACTAGGGTCACAAAACACAAGACCAGGCCTGCACTCATGGAAACTCTAATGTTAACAAGAAAAAAGACAAAGAATTAGTAGATTATGAAGAGTTCTATGGCTGGAAAATACTGGTTGCCTTGGGAGTACATCACAGAAGCCCTAACTCAGTCTTAGAGGTCAGCTGAGATTTAAAGAATGGCTAGTAGTTAGATGCCAGTGAGTTTAGGAGAAATAAACAGAATGAAGAAATGGAATAGGGTATACAAAACATACAGAAAAGAAAATAAGGGATACATTGCTTGATCCAAAAATTAGAAGAAAAAAATGATATTAGAAGAAAAAAATGAACATAGAACAGGTAAGTCTATTACATAATTTACGTTTTATCCTAGAGGCCATGGAAAGCTACTACAACATGTTTATAAACAATGAGGTAATAGCATCGGGTTTGCTTTTGAGAATTATCACCATAGTGTTGTTGTGAAGAACGAACTAGTGTGAAAAGAGATTAGAAGAAGATGTGATTGACCAGAAGGTTACTTACTGCAATAATCCAGGCAGAAGATGATGAAGGAGGGGGATAAAATACGATAGAGAGGGATAAAGAAATGTGGAGCTCTTTTGGAAGTCTGAAATTTTTAGAAATTAAAATTCACAACACTTGGGTTTCTCCTAAATTTACAAGTTCTGTCACTGCCAAAAAATGTTTAGCAATTTTGCAAAAACACCATGATTAAACTCCTAAGTTATATAATGTGGAGAAGCTCAATAAATAGTTGCTGAATAAATACATATATAAAAAATTTTTATTCTACTCACACCTTTTTGCTTGAATTACACCTTTGTATTTGTCTTTTTGTCTATCAGAATTCATAGTATGATATAGTTGGGAAGAATGTTATGGTTCTTCAGATTTTATTAAAGATGAATAACTCCTGTGCTGCA